CCCCCCTGCGCTGCCGAGGAGTGACGAAAGCAGACCAGCTGCTATTAATAGCGGGTCGGTGGATGAGATGACGGCCAGTGACGATTTTCCCTCGCAGCAAATCTATTCACCCCTAACAGAAACCAACAGCACTGTGACCTCCTCAGCTGTGTGATTTCAGTTTAATAATATGGGGAATGAGGACAGTGAAGGGAGCTGAGATTGAAACACCTGGATAATTGCACCAGATTTCTTTTACTGCCAGTCCTTTACTTTAATAGTTTACTTAACAATCTGGTCTGACAGTGCAAAATGAAACCATTATTCTAGGGTAAGTAAGACGAACGTAATTGGAAAATAAACAATTAGGTTTTGTGTGCGAGTGGGGTAAATGGACTTGTATTGCTTTTCATTGATTTTTAGCTTGCGTGTGGATCTCGGCATCAAATGAACTCGGACAGGGAAGAGTTTTAAAGAGACGATTATGATGACAGATGGTAGACAGGAATGAATTATCGGTACATTGTTAATGTACAACTCTCTTTTCATCATTCTGTGCAGCCAAATAATGTTCCGACCCAACAAAACGTATTCTATTCTCATCGGGATCCAAAGTTTCCAAAAATACTAAATATGCCAGTTTGAATTTGGGGGGAAAGTGTCTGCAAGACATCTGGAATATTTCCCATTGATGAAATGAAGCAACATAAAAACATGAAGTCTTGGATTTAATTTGTATATTCATGGATTCTATTATATATTTTTCTCGGTTTAAATACTGCGATACATAACATTATATTGTATGCATTAGGCAAATTTTTTTGCCCAAATCAACTTACAGGAAGTGCATTATTTCCGCGATGGCTTCAATGAAGAGCTGGAACAGGCTGATACAGAATATATATCAAAACTCAGACCAACAGAGTGGAATAAGTTGATTTTCCAATTTTAAACCTGCAATAACTTGTAAACTCTGTGTTGTGTCTCACCGCTTTCATCGACCTGGTCTCCAGCAGCAGCAGGCAGCTGTTTTCAGTGAAAAAGCTCTTATAAATCAGCGTTCCACTACCTGTCCAGCACACAATGACAAAGTTAGCGACTAGCTGGTGAACTTGGTGAAGACAGCAAACCAGATATTAATGCAAATGAATGCAAATGTTTCTCTGTATCTGCTGGATGTGTAAAAAGGCAACTATTTGCTAACATGTTAGCCACCGCAACTTTAAAAATGATTTCATGTCAATGTTGTCTTTACAGCGTGGCTTAAAAAAAAAATCAATTGTTTGCTGCTTACGGCTTTAATTTCGCTAAGAAGGATTCTTAGTTACCGAACAAACCCTCCAATCATCTGACGGCTAAAAAGAAAGCACCATCCTCGGGATAAAGCTGCCAAAAGTGACATCTGTAATGGAGCCATAAAAATTACTAATAATGCCAGCAACGAGAGGTGTGACCTCACACACCGCACACATCATATTTCTGCCTCCCTGTCATCTTGGGAGGGCCACTTGCTGGGGTGGGGGGGGGGACAAGAATTAGAGAGAAAGAGTTGAGCGCTGTTGGCTGGTGGCAGGCTGAGTTGCCATGGTAACTGTAGGGTGAGGTCACCCGGCTGCTGCAGTGCCAGCGTAGGGACTCATTATGCCACCTCCCATCTATCTGTCTCTCTCTCTTCTTCTGTTGCTTTCACTCCAGCTCTCTGTCCCTGTGCAGTCCCCCCCCTGTTTTCTCTCTCTTTCCTATTGTTTCAGCTCTGCCCCGATAGAAGGGAGGGATGATAGAAGGGCCCCCCCCTTCTATCATACATAGAAGGGGGGATAGATTGATACATCAATAACTAGGGGGGGGGGGGGGGGGGGGAGGAAGAGCTGGCAGACGAACAAGGTCTATTGGAGCAATGCAGGATACTCTCAATAAGACGAGAGCCAAGGCCATCCGTAAGCTACTTTTCAGTAGCCCTTCTCACTAGGCTAATTACTCATACTGTAAGAAGTCATTATTACCGGAGGAGAAGCTGGCAAGCTCTAGCTCGGCCCCCACAGTCGGTCACCTGATCGTCGTCTTGCACATCATCCCTTGATGGCGTAGACGGTAGATAAGAAGTGGACCTAGTCGTTGTGACGCCACCTATTGGTTTGTGGACTGCCGTTTTGAAGCCTCAAGTTTGGCATTTTGGCCATCGTCATCTTCACTTTTCGCAACCAGTGAAAGGAAGTGACCATATTTGGACTGGGAAGGAGTGACGTAGTGACGCCGTATATGGCCGTAGTGACCTGTCAATCACACGGGAGCCCCGCCCTAAAGCATACCTTGCTTTATAGTCTATTTTACTCTAAATGGGATCATAATTTACTAATTTTGTCTTGAACAAGACTTGAAATTACAATGTTTACTGAGGTAATGAATCAAGTGAGAAGTAGTCATTTTCTTATAGACTTATTTTTGCAACCAGAGGAGTCACTCCCTGCTGGTGCCTTCCAACCTTCAGAACCGGAGGTTGCTGCTTGCTCAATATTCTCCTAAGATGAAGCTGCTGTTTGGGCTCTGCTTTTTCTTATTTCTTCTTTACTGAGGAAGGGGTTGGGCTGCACGGTGGTGTAGTGGCTAGCACTGTCACCTCACAGCAAGAGGGGCCCGGGTTCGATCCCCGATCCCGGGGAAAAACACAAAAGCCGAAGGAGCTTTCAGGAACATCGATCATATCTCAGAAGGCACCTTGACGGAAATTTTAACGTCCATGATTTATTATTAAAATGTACATGCATGTGATAACATTTAAAGTCTGTGAGGCTGTATGGTTCAGGGTGGGCATTGCAACTATCTGTCAAACCCAGGACCTTCTTGCTGTGAGGTGAATAAACTGGCCAACCCGACATTATGTAGGAAAACCTAAAGCGGTTAAATCAGCTGTGCAGCGCAACTATATCAGTAACTGACCTTCTGTCAAATCACACTTGACCTGACGCATTTCCTCAATTTCTTCTTCCTCTCACCTCCAGTGCCATGATATAAAGAGATGCAAATGAGGAAGCGGCTAAGAAATCAGTTAATATGTCCCTTATCGGCCAAGACGGCGAAATCACAGTAAATATGTCTTTTGCATGACTGTTATCAGAAGGACAGTGTCAAAAACGCCGTGTCAAATTCAGTGACAGCTGACTGAAAAGGTCTTTCCTTTGGGGGAAGCCTTCGTGGCCTGCTTGGCCGAACCATGCCTCATTACTACTGTCTGTCATTGAGCTCCTGCAGCTCATCCAGTCATGCGGACACATGGGACATTTCCTGGAGGAGGGTACATGCTTATCGCTTTTGCCCTTATTATAATTATTTTGTTATCCCTATTGTTGCTCATATCTTTGCTAAAACTTATTTCCTATGCAAAACATAGTTTGTCCAATAATACATTTAACAACCTGTTCTTATTAAATGACTTGTCTTTCTGAATTTCTCTGAATATTGAAGAACCTTTGGGGGTTTTTGAGTGTTGGCCTGAGAAGAATTTAAATGAACTGATGGATTTTGTCTGTATGTTTGACATTTTACAGACAAAGTAATTGACAAAGGTTGCAGCCTGAGTGGAAATATTTCTCCCTAAAGAACCATTTATCTCTGTGTGTCGCAGCCTGAGAACCTGCTGCTGGCCAGTAAGATGAAGGGAGCCGCGGTGAAGCTTGCAGACTTCGGTCTTGCCATCGAGGTGCAGGCAGACCAACAGGCATGGTTTGGTAAGAAATAACACTTCAATAGAATGTGTAAACTTATTATCTGTAATGATCCCACACTATTCACTTTCAGCAGTAGTGTTTGCTTCAGCAGGAAAATCCCCATCACTGCTTGTGAAATAAGGAAGTATTAAATTAGTGTCGAGCTACAGTTTGTTTCAGTACAGTGTGATAATAAAATGCTCTATTTTTGTAACTGTGCAAGAGAACTTAATTAAAAACGCCATACAGTCAAGAGAAAGTAGTTTGTGTGTTGATACAAAGATCAGAAAGGCTTATGAACCCATAATCTTGCTCAAATCATGTGGTTATCAGAAATAATACTGTATGTCCTTATTGCGGTGCATTTTCATAGACCGATTTCACACAAGTGTCTTTGTTTTTTTTCCAGGTTTTGCAGGAACTCCAGGCTATCTGTCCCCAGAGGTGTTGAGAAAGGACCCGTACGGCAAGCCAGTGGACATATGGGCGTGTGGTCAGTTAGTCTACCTTCTGTCTCTTTGCATGCTGCTGCATTCATATGCTCACTAATAGTATGATTATGCATTTGACATGTTTTTAGTATACGTTTTATAGACTGTATGTTCATTTTGTGTGTGTGTGTGTGTGTGTGTGTGTGTGTGTGTGTCAGGTGTAATCCTGTACATCTTGTTGGTGGGCTACCCTCCCTTCTGGGACGAGGACCAACACAAACTCTACCAACAAATCAAGGCCGGTGCATATGACGTGAGTACTTCTCTCTCATGATCATGTAGTAGCCTTCCAATGTGTATGAAAAACCATTGACATGACATGACCACGATGCAGAATAATTCAGTGTAGTGTTGTACTAATGCACATTATACTGTCTTTGTCATTACAACAGGTAAATATAGAGAAGTTTTGAGTTTGCATTAACTGGGTAACCGGGGGAATTAGTAAAAAGGCTCCGGTTTCCTTCTGCCACTAAGATGAAGGCCACTATTTGAGATTTACAGTAATCATTTCATCCATTAATAATTTAAAAATATTGATTAGTGCAGCTTTGATAAATGTCCTTCCTTTATGGAGCTCATATGTGCGGACTCATCCCAGGTCGGCTGATTGAGTGTGTTTTGTAAATGGATCCTTGAAGATGAGAGCTGAGGTTCGTAGAGTCTGTTAGAGCTCCATCTGTGTTCATTAAACTTGAACTCGAATACAGAATCTGAATCATAATTTATTTGAATGGGAAAACAAGTGCAAAGCCTCGAGATGATCCCTACAGGACACCTTCAGTTCAAGTCGCATCAAATGACACACGATTTCCGTCGTGCAAGTCATTTGGAAATGACATTTTAGTTTTTGATTGCTTGCTACTTGTTGTTGCATGATTTTCATTGAGCTGTAGAAAAAAAGTGATACACTATGACAGAGCGACGGGCTTATTTATCAGATCTTGTCATAGTCCTCTGGGAGATAGGAATTTATTACCCGTATTAATTTCCATAATTGGAAGCAACCACATCTAATGAATGTGCATATTATGAGCAGCATTGATATGAAGTGACTGTGACAAGCACTCGTAATAATCTGCACTTCTTCAGCATTGTCACTGTCATGCAGATGCCTTGAATCTCATTTTTCTTTCTTTTTGTCATTGATTGACAACTGACACCTTAATGTTTGAAGTAAGTGTCTCTGACAACTTGCTTTGATTTTAAGTAGTAACCATGTTCTCTGGCACTTTATGCTTCTTGAATGGAGCGATGAGGGCGGCAGGTGTAGATTTGAAAACTCCTCCTGTTAATGACTCAATGAATGTTTTTTTTTTTTTAATTTTTGTGTCATAACATTGATATGACCCATCGAAGATAGACAAATCATTGCACCATTCCACATAGTACGCATGTTCTAAAAGAAAATAAATTAAAATGTGTGTGTTGTAAACAGACGATGAGGACAACTAGAGACCATCTTGTGATTAGATCACAACAGCCGCATCGTTAAATCAGGCCAGGGGCGTAATGTAAGCGTGGAAATGGCCCCTTCTACCTTCCTACTTCCAGCCCCCTTGCTCGGAATATACCGATCCCTTTGATCTCAACTACACATCTGTAAAGCTTCGTGACTGGGTCTTACGTGGTTGTGACTGTATCGCTTTGACAAAATCTGTCCACAAACACACCGACAGACATATAAACCCCTGGAAAAGTGGTCAAAAGTGCTTCTGTGATACAGTTGGTGACTCCAGTTCCACATTTTGCCACCGTGACTCAAGTTCAATACATATTCATTGGAAGCGAAAAGGAGACAGTAGATAATAATAAAACTCAAAGATGCAAAATATTTACAAGCATCGGAGCGTTCAAAGGATACGTTACGGACGTTAGCACTGAGGTAATTGCTGTCAAATGCTTAAAAAAAAAGTTCAAGTTCATGAATGCAAACCAAAACTCTCTGTTTGCTATTTGTTTTGTGACAGACAGACGCACCTTGCAAACACTCAGTCACAGTATTTTACTAAATATACTATTTTTTTTTTTTTTTTTGTCAGATCAACATATAAAGGGCAATGTGAGAAAAGTGCGTTTAAATTTCTATTTCTTTTAATCCACACAATGACAGAGCCTACTCTGGTCTAAATACCAAAATAAGGTCCAGTCTCCAGATGTCCTGTTGATACATGCTCCTCCTCTCTGCTTTACTTCCTGTTGTTTTAGCATATTTTACAGATGCAGGGCTCCTGAGGCTCTGCAAACTGTCACATTTCTAATGAATTAAAAAAGAAAATGCATATCTATGTGTTTGCATATGCATGCGTGTTAGGCCAGAAGGATAAACTGTTCAATGAAAGCATAAGAACAGGGATACACGCTCTTAACACTTGTTCCTCTTTGATCTCTCTCTTTCAGTTTCCTTCTCCAGAGTGGGACACAGTGACCCCCGAGGCCAAAAATCTGATCAATCAGATGTTAACGATTAACCCTGCCAAAAGGATCACTGCCGACCAGGCCATCAAGCATCCCTGGGTCTGCGTAAGTCACACTCGTCCTCTTCAAAATAAATCTTTTCCAGCATGTCAAAAAACACTGCTGCAGATGTTCCTAGCTCAAAGAGTTACATTGTGAAACATGTTGAGCATTTAATTTTTGGCATTGCTTCATAAAACAAAAGCGCCGTCACATCTAATAGGCTAGTGTTAAAATCACGGTCTGCTAAACATATTATGTCGTCGAGCAGAATTAGTAGTTTTGAGTTGAGTGAAACTCATTTTAAGCCCTCGGGTCATTTATCTCACACTACATGTAAGAGCTTTAGACAACATTTGGATGAAAGTGAAACGTAATACCATGACCACAGAAATATGTGGTTGAGATTGGCTGACAGGCGTCCATTAAACTCAACAAACAAATAAAGAAAAATAAGAAGTATAGTGGGCGAGGCTGCTGGCTCTGATTGTACTCTCTCACACACATTTTATTACTCAAAATAGAGAAGTGGGTATCTCCAGAATATAGTAAAACTCATATAAATGTATTTTACGACCAATACTTTTTATTCTGTCAACTTTTTTTTGTTTTTGATATATGTGGTTTGCTTTTGAGCCTTGACTGCCGAGTGAGAATAAAAGCATACACAGGAGCAAACTAGAGCTGTAGAGAATTCAAAACGCTTCATTGTTGCGGTGCCATAGTTGTCGAATTCATCTGAAATGTGATTAGATGTTTCCTAGCCAAAGTAGATGATCTTGGTATAGACAAAAAATATAGAGTAGTGGGAGGCGTCCTAGTATAGAAAAGAATTGACTTGGCTAAAGAAACAGGATGCACAACTTTGCGCTCTTTTATAGGACCCCTTGTCACATCGATTATAAAGGAGTGAAATCAGTGTGTTCTCATCTCTATTGACACGGTGACACATTGAAGTTAATCTATAATGTTCTCTCTCTTCTACATACAGCAACGCTCCACTGTGGCCTCCATGATGCACCGCCAAGAGACTGTGGAGTGTCTGCGCAAGTTCAACGCCAGACGAAAACTTAAAGTGAGTGTGGACACACAGGCGCGCACACACACACACACACACGTCCACCTTACACAAATCCTTATGCTGTTTATTTTTGTGTCCCCTCTAGGGAGCTATCCTCACAACAATGCTGGTGTCCAGGAACTTTTCAGGTGAGCTTTGGAAGTGGTGCTAATCAAAATCAACAATCTTCATGTGCCGACAGACTTCAGGTCCTGATGCTGTTCATGACTCATATTTGAATGAAGCCGTACAAACAAGCACCGTGATTTAGAGAAACTGAGCAGTTTTGTCACAGAAAACAAATCTGTTTTGTCATTATCTTTAATAATAATAGTGATAGTGATGTATGAGCTTTATAGGTAATCACTTATTCCTGATCTGAGATCTCATTGAGGCCAAATACGTGTCGCTGTTGTTCTTCTACTGTTCCCTAAATAGCATATTTTTATTCTTGTTCACTTTTGCTCGTTGGCTCTGTCTGCGGTTTTGATTTTGCACTTCAGGGGTTTGGCTCGGATTTCCTCCTTGTTAGCAGTTTGGTGATCGAAACACAGTTAACTTTTGATCGAACACCCAATTTGTAGGCTAGACGATGGCCTTCAAGCTAATGCTTTAATGCTACTGGCCCTGTGTTTATGTGCTTTCATGTAAGTAAAGCAGCTCCTGTGGATCACAGCCAACTACTTTCTACTGGTCAAGATTGATCTTAACTGAAGAAAGCATGCGAGCCAGACCTCTAAAATGCTTTATACATAACTGCAGGCATGTTTACCAATGAGTGTCAAAGGAGATAAGAGAAGTATGCTTGTATGATCCAAACACTTTCTGGAAACCCCTGTTTTGTCATTCTTCTGTAAAAGTTAATCAAACTTTGGGAAATCCAGAAAATAAAAAAGGCTGTCAGGCTTTAGTGAGCCTCTCGTCCCACCTGTGCCTCCACATTGAATCCCTCTCTGTCCAATAGTGGGACGGCAGCATACCAGCCCTGCCGCTACCACCAGCACGGCCGCAATGACACAGGAAGGTACGTCTGCTTGAGGGGGCGTTGGTGTCAAGCACTGCCAACTTTGTACTCGGGCTTTTGGGATGTGGCCTGGGCTGCTTGAACCCCTCCACCTGCTGCCTGCTGCCTGCACACTGATGAACCACTTCTGAATGGTCGTCATTGCACTGGGGCATCTTAACACACACACACACACACAAACATGTAAATGGAAACAACAAGCAAAGCTCAGCTCTTGACCTCCCAGTACTGCTGCGTGTCTTGATGCTTTAATGAACGGAGTTCCTCTCATGGACTGGCTATTTAATTTCCTGTGTGGAAATCAACAGCCATTTAACTGACACCCAGCATGACCCTCTGACATCCCTCCAACTACCGCAGCTGCCACCCAGCGAAGCTCGGTTTACATTAACACACCTTGTAGATGCTGCATATCTTTTCGTGTGCAGCATAAACATTTTAACCTTTTTCATATTACAAATACAAAAAAACAGACCCGCCAGCCTTCAACCGTTTGTATCCACAGTACCCGGCTGATGCCCAGTCGATGCCTGCCTGTGCTCGCTGCAACCTTCCCTCCGCATGGCTCAGGCACTAACAGCCAGCCAAGCATGTTTATGAGCGTATAGCACAGCACAGAATGCCAACCTGCATGGGAAGCTGTATGAACAGAATGCACAGTGTCCTTTGTTATCTTTTCTTCTTTGTCTCCTCTCCCCTGCCTGCTCTGTTTTATTTGTGTGAAGAGAGCCTAAAGGCGTCAGTATGCTTCAAACTTTGTAGGATCACCAAACAGACTCTTAAAACCACCTCCCCTCAGAGCTTTCCGACGTTTAATTTATGGGGGCTGCGTCCCAATATTTTTTGTTACTTTCTGAAACCGACAACCTGAAGAGGTCAAAACTTCAGCAACACTTGGTATAAAAAAAATTAACTTTATTTTTGGCTTGTGGACCTTCTATTTAACTCAGATAAGTATGAAAGAAATAGGTCATTTGTGTGATTCGAATAGATCCAATGTACTTTTAAACTGATGTCCCCCTTACATTACTTTTGTAGCAGTAAGATTACATTAATTCCTTATATGGACATGCTAAAATTTACTTTAAATACACATTCTAAAACTGACAGTGTGACACATTTTACAGTGTCATATACGGTATATTCATTGTGAGAGTCTCAAACACGTCAAAGCTAAGATGAAATAATATTAGAGCGATACATTTATAAAATTTCACAAATGGAGCATTTGGAAATAGTTAAGTGCTTATAAAATACCACTAAACTATTGAGATGTCCTCTTTTATTTAAATACACTGCCAAAGAAAATTGACATTATTACCTCTTTGAAATGTGAAGACTGAATGAAATTTTTCCCATTAGTTAGATGGCACAACCACGTCCCATTGACCGATACTGTGCGCCGTTATTCATCGGCGTCGTCCCGCTCTACTGAGGCAGGCTTTCACCGTCGTACAGACTAGTTTGAATGAAGCATACTGAACCCTTTATAGGTGATTGTCAGTCACGTGACAGGGCGAGCTGCTTGCTTAAAGGCCGCTCATTCAGGAATTAGGGTTTGATCGACAAGTGGATGCTGCTCCGATAAGTTGTTAATAACGGATTTATCTTGAGACTTGATTACAATTGTTAAATTTCTTTGTTTACTGGGTTACATACAGCGTAAAATTGAAGAACTTGGTTTTGAATTTTTGAGAGGATGTCCTGAACTCGGTTTGATAACTGTTGGGAATGCAGAGAAAGACTCTGAAGTGGATGCTGCATGTTTTTAAGCCACTGTCATCGCATGAACCCACCAACTCTGTGAAAAGGATCTAAAGAATGCCATTCAACACACAGTGAAAGCCTGACGGGTGTTTGTGCCAGTTGTCCTCTTCAGTTTTCAGTTTTGTTTTCCGTTCAGATGTTAAGATGCAGGTATTAAACACATCACTGTTTTCTTGCCTTCTTCATTGCCCTCCTTCCTCCTTTATAAATGGAAGGTAAGGGAGGATCATTGGAACATGTCTAACACAAAAATTAGTGTTTGTACAATAATTTGTGTGTGCTTATTTTGAATCTGTTTGTGTGCATGCTTGTGGACATTTTATTCAGTTGTGTGTTGGTGTCATAAATATGTAATATGTATAACTGTGTGGTCAGACGTTCAGTTGCATGCACATGCTATAATGTGGTCGTGTAGGCTAACATGGACTGGTTACATTACAGTGGGCGGTGTTTGACCTGCAGAGTATACGTCAACAGTTTGAATATTTGTCGACTTTCTTTTTCTAACTGCCTCTTTTCACAAAGTCGTTCAGTTGACGGGTGTTGGCTGTAACACACTAAAATGAATTCATTGATTTCAGTGAGATAGAAGCACCTCATGGGTTCAGCGAATAACTAAGTCACTTATTTAATTCATTCATTAGTTAATTCATTCATCCATTCATATTTGTTCCCTTGAGACCTTCAGGAGGAAGGAGGCTTGTCTAACACTGAACCAGGATCAGCTTATCCCTTATTTGTAGTACTGCTTATGTTGTACTTTATGGAACCGTGCTGACATTTATGTTGGTGTTTACTGTTCAAACTGCTCCCAAACATGTTGATTGTATGGAGGATGATTTATCCAAAAAGAACGTTCAAATAAAAAATGTTTACGTTTTTTACAACCAGGAAAACGTTTGGCTAAATAAATGTTCATAAACAGAGAAAGTAAAGGGAAACATACTCGTGGTGAATCAGGAATGTGAGAAAATAGGTCAAATTATTAGATGGGACTTCCTAAAATGTTCAAACTCATGATTTTGACCTGGTATCACATAAGTTTAACTCACTATCTCATATTTTTTGACTTGTATCATGTTGGTTTTTTTTTTTTTTTTTTTTTGAATGTACTTTCCACAGTAACTCAAACATTGTTCTCAGTATATTTTACAAATTCTATTTTTCATAGTTTTTGTTTTTTTTGGCAGATTTCTGATTCCATACAAAACATCAACAATCTCTTTTATTGGACTCTATCACTAAATCAGCAAACGTATATTTAAACCCAAACATATAAGGAAAAAGGGCAAAAAGAAAACAACATGAATTTGCTCCAAAGCAGTTATTTTAATTGTAAAAATAGAAAATGTTTCCAAACTTTTAATGTTTTTTTCCCCATTTTCAGTTTGCTATTTATCTATACAGTAATGCATTTCTTTAATCATAATTGGCCTGAGTTTGCCCAGTGGTGCAGGAACAATATGTGGAAATCGTGTGGAAACGTTTGTTGGCCCGTTATTTTGTCCTGCTGACTTTGTTGGACTCCTACTTCTCAGACTGTCCTTACTGTCTTGTCTCTCTTTCTTTCAGCATGCAAAACCTTACTAAACAAAAAGTCGGACGGTGTGAAGGTAAGTTTCCTGACCCATGAGGGTTTTATTGACTTTACTGCTTCTGTCTCTCTCTCCTTCTGTCTTCTGCTGTCTCACTTTTTGTCTGTCACCCTAACAACTCTCTAATAACATGTATCTTTGATATTATGAGCATGTGGAAAAGCATTATGTTCTTTTAGTTGGATTACCTTTGTGCTCTGGTGCTCCATTGTTTAAGATGTTTGTGTTTTTAGGGAAAAGGATTGATAAGAATAAAGGTGGGGCTCAGGTAATACAGATGTGATATTAAAGTGAAAGTAAGCGACATAAAAAGACCGATAAGCTTTTAAAATGCTGTTTGTTTTCTACCGCCAGGTTTTCTGTGATTCACAGCGATTCGAGCAACCATCATGTCGTGGTGCTCACTTTGTTTTAACCGACGGTCGGCGTCAATGCATGCAGTGAAGCGCCATGATCAACAAGGGCCAAAATAAAATCCCCAGTACATACAGTAACTTAAACAATAACTAAACCCCCAAAATATTCTACAAATAAACTGCACGTTCAATGATTTAGGTCTCATTTAAATACTAACTTCCTCTATTGTTTTTGCAGCTAATTCTTTTTTCTTTTTGTTTCTGCTGAAGCCCTCTTAGTATCCCTTTCTCTCATCTTTGGTCCTGTGTAAGCTTGTGCAGCTGTTTTGTTTTTCTCTCTTTCTGGGATCAATCTGGCAGCTTCACTTTTTTACTATTTTGACGAGTTCCTTGTTTCCCGATGACCCCTTATTCTTTTCCTCCTCCTCTCCATTGCTGTCTGTCAGAAAAGGAAGTCCAGCTCGAGTGTTTGTTTGATGGTGAGATCGGCTCTGTCGTTTTCGTTCATTCTTTGTCTCTCTTCGTCTTTCCGAGGCTTTATCCCCCCCTTCGGTACTCTCTCTCTGTTTCATCTGCTTCTTCTTTTCTCCTTTTGGGCAGAGATGTATGAGGCTTTTGGTCTTGTTCGATTTCTGTTGGATTTCCTAACTCCATCCCTGCATCCCCTTCTGCCATAAGCGCCACCAAAACCATTGCAGCTCCTGACAAATACCACACACACACACACACACACACACACACACACACACACACACTCGCACCACTCACCGCATTCCAGTTTTCTTCTTCTGATGTCTGAGATCAGGCGTTTTGGCTTACTTACCAACATCCCTGACCATCACAGGACTGAGCGACATTTTAATCACTGTAAACATCGATATACAATCATTTTCCCTTTTTTTCAATTATTGTATATTCATTGTACCCCCATTATTTTTCATTGAGAACTTTTTTTTTTTTTTTTTTTTCTCCCACTACCTGTAAATCGAACATCTGTCTTAGTCCCCTGCAGATAGTCAACACCTTAATTACTGACAGTTCAGGACTGATGTACAGATTAACTGGTGTAGACAAAATAACAACATAAAATACATTGGATTTTAAGATCATTTTTAAAAGAATATAACTTTTCACACAAAAGCAGAAGTATGTATGTGTGTCGGTGGATAAGAAGAAGTATATGTCCTTTTCTTAGTCAATAAATACTGTAAAAGAGCCGAACAAGCTTGCATGTCAAATCCTAAAACAGTTATCTCTAACACTGTAACAAAATATCAAGGCCATAGAAAAAGAAAAAAGTCTTAGTAGTTGCTTCATAATGCTGATGTTCACTGCATATTTGTACTTCTTGAAGGAACTGTAGTTTGCCACGTCGGCCTCAGTGTTGCACATTAGATTTTCTGTTAGAAGATGTTCCTAGTTGGCCAAGATACTTCTTAAAGTCACACAGGGCTATTCGCTCGTCTGAGAGTGTTAGATAAACAGCTGAGAAACCTCCCAGGGCTTTGCTCTTAACCTTTCATTTACCATTCGTCCACCTCTTAACTTTCCTGTTGGAGTACTGATTAGCATTCAAGAAGCTCTTCTTCCTCCTTCCCCTGCAGTTAGCCTGAGGATGAAGGGAGAGTCCAGCTCAAACAGTGTTTTCTTGTTCACCTCACACATCCCATTTGTAATCCGTAGCTACAATCTACACCTCTGTTGTGCAGCTCAACCGCTATCCTGGCTTGCAGGTTCCAACAACACAAGACAAAAATAATTGTTTGAGTGAGCAATAAATATAATAATACAGGCGTACTCCCGGATGTAGTATTGCACTCCAAAAACACTAGATCACTATGACAAAAATAACATCAACAACAACCAGTTTCACAGGCGTTCAGAATAATACGAAACATTAAACTGACCTAAAATCAGTGGAGTTCCCCTTTAAAACATAAACCATTTTTTGCAATTTTTGTTGAACTAATTTTTTAGTTTAATTAAAACACATGTTGCATATACTCTGGCTCAGCAACGTGTGCCACTGCACGTGCAGAGAGGAATGTTCATTCAGTAAAACAGAAACGTACTGAAGGTGAACTTAGCAGTTGTAGTCGTGCTAAAGTAGTTTTGTTTGCTTTAATATTATCCTCAAACTAAATTTAGCACGAGCCAAGAGTGGGAAATAACAACAGAGAAAAACCTGTCGTCAAGGCCTTTCACTGCATGCACAGACCTGAACTGGTAACCATTATTACAAACTTATTGTCTGACTCGGTTACGCATATTTTGGCTGTGCTTCTGCCAGAAATGGTTCACAGATTTCTGGTTCAAACTTGTGATTTTTTTTTTTGGATTTTTAAAAAAATTCCAGCAGATGTTGATTCACCTATTTGTGAAAGTGCTGGGGAAATCCTTAAAATCCAATCTGAAGATATGTTCACTGTTTTAAAAAAAAAATGCATGTGCTGACTAACTGTTCTGTATTTTTACTTTTGTTTTAATGTTGTCAAATGTCTGCAAAAGTTGTAGACAGTAAATGCCGGAACACAGCAGGACGCTGGACTCAAAGAGTCCTTCAATCACTCAATACACAGCTTTATAATAGAAATATAACAAGTCAGTACACGCACATAGTGGTTTAAGCAGGACACTAATCTGTTTCTACTAGTTCCTGGTGATCAAAAGAAGATATTATTTTGAAGCTACATGCACAAAAGGCTTAGAAGAATACAGCAACAACTGCCCTTTTTAAAGTGCGCAAGGCAGCAGGGTTCAGATGATTGATGCAGATCTCCAAATAAACCCGTTTAGCATTGAACCCCACTCCCACATTGTGCCGTTTTTAAATTCTACACACACAATATGTGCATTTTATATTGGCCGTGAAATGGCTCCTATTCGTTGTCGAGCTGAGATTCCCATAGTCCGGTTTATGGTTCAGGAGCAGTGGGAGTCATTCTGTGTTGTGTTTCTTTGCCCCAGTCGCAGGGAAACAACAGTAAAAACAGTGTAGTAAGCAGCAGCAGCACCAAAGACAGCAGCATGTCATCTTCAGCACCAATGGTACCTCATCTCTATTTGCTTTCTCTCACATTGCTTTTTTTTTTTTACGGCATCATTTCATTGTTTACATCTTTTCAATGTTTAGTTCAGTCTCCTCCTCATCTTTTTGTGTCACACCCCATGTAAAGGGAAATCTTTTCTTCTACTTTGTCCCCTCTCTCGTGCCTCATCCTCTGCCTCTTTGCTTCTGTTTTGAACACAAACTGTGGTGTTGGACGTGGATTTGATGACTTTAAAATTGAATGACTGGTTTGTGCCTTGGAGTGTCTCTCCCGGCTTGTGTTTTACCCAGACCTCACGTGGACACACCCATATATATATACGGTGTATATATATATATATTTGCACAGTGCACTGCACTGACAGGTAGACAAATGACTTTCATTTTGCAGAACAACAGCAGGCCCTTCAATCATGGTCTGCTCAGCCGTTTCCTGGTGACTCATTGTTGATGGTTTGCCTTTTAAGAAGAACAGGTTTATGTCAATTATTTGGAAAGCCGAGCTCAAGAAAGATTGAACCTCTACTACATCAAAGGACATTTGTTTTTTCCAAATTGCTCTTTGATATGTGAATCGTGAATGACGAGGACTTCTGGGTAAAACAGGAGCTGGAGAGGACGGGTAACAGAGAGACGTCATAATTGTGTGAGGATGCAGCCCCTGTGTTCATAATGGGATTCAGCCATATATACTGTACAACATTCAATAAAGCTTGAACAATGCTTTCCCCAGGTTTCAAACATGGTAATGTAACAACGTAATCAAAGCCTAACCTCATTTCAGCGCATCAGTAAAGTACTATTACTGTTTTAGTAACTGGCCACTAAATTAAACACTGAGGGAAGGCATTGAGCACAAAGCTAAGGATTGGTTAATCCCCTATAATTCCATATGTCATCGAAGGGGCTGGATCTTCTGAAGTTGTAGTTCCTGGATGTTTGGTCCAGTGTTGATTGTATATCAGGAGACAGACAGACTGACCAAACAAGGAAAGCGGTACTTGGAGCTCTTAAACTTGCATTGTGCAGAATGTTTCTGTGGCAGGGTCACACACAGGCTGCCATGCTAAATGCAGCGTTCATGCCATGTGGAATGGGAGGCTGTGATGGGGAAAGATTCATATTGTCATCACTAGGAAGTGTTCGTGGCATCAGACTACTCAGGATGGTGGTTGCTGGTGTTGATATTAACAAGTGTAATGTATGCACTGAATGAAGTAATCTAATATTTTATTTCTTTATTCACCAAATTTTTCATGAGCTCAGAAGAACAGCCCTATTTCCAGCTTTGTGACGACGCACCTCTTAGCTAATTCAAGAGGCTTTTTGAAAAGTGTGTTGAGTTTTAGAATTCGGACATTTTTCTCACCACATAAAGGAAACTCTTCAAAACCAGCACATCTGGAGATATACAAGTACAGGAATATTTACCTCTGAAGTAAAGTAGTATAAAATGGAAAAAAAATTCTCAAGTAAAGTACACGTACCTTCATTCTGCACTTAAGTACAGTACTTGAGTAAATGTACTTGGTTACATTCCACCACTGAATATATCATTCTTGTGGTGCTCTATGAAGGTTTGTTTAGCAAAGCACAAGTAATACAACAAACTTCTTTCGTGTTTTGGAGTACTTGCTCCCCTAGCTCATGAATGCATCAGTTTTTGTTTGCTTTTCAAATACTTCTGTAATTTACTTACTGCCACGTTGTATACATCAGAGCTTCCCAGTTGTAATGTCCACTTGGATATTGAAGCAAACATTTCAAACTATAGAACAACTTCCAGGTGACATGAACGCAGCATAACATCTGCACACACACATGCACATCCAGTCACTCACAGAAGCCCTCCTCCTCAGTCGAGGCCCTAGCTGGTGAATCTGTGTTTAGCTGTTCCAAGTCTTCATGTTTTCCTGCATTTTGGAGACTCTTAACTTCTCCTGTAGGCCACATTGCTAAAGACAGACTGACACTGAGCACCTTGACATCTACAGTGATATATTAAATCCACATAAATTCTCCTCGGCCTCTGTACTGTTGCTTCTGTGCTTTGTTGTTTTGGTGTGTGCACATGCATCTGTTTTGTATGTTTGTTGTCACTGAGTTGGTTGGTGTTCCCTGGCATCTTCCCTGGTGCCCCCTTACACACCCCACTCTATCGCCTCCCTGCATGGTAAAGTGTCTCCTACCTCCCCCCAGGAAGCCCAGACAACTGTCGTACACAACCCAGCTGACGGCACCAAGGTAAGCCTTCCTTCTCCCACCACTAGCCACTGGCAGCTAACACTCGCAAGTAACTCGTGGAGGACTTTCTCTAAATATACTCCATACATCGCTGTCAACTGTAACTATGTTGACTCTGTGCGTTTCATTGTGCACCTTATGTGAGCTGGCCTCTGTCAGTGTGTTTCATTACGTGTCTTCCTGTTTACCAGGAGGGACTCCCCAAATCTGGAAGCAGATCAGTGGAGCTCTTGCTTGTAGTGAGGGTAGCTCGCACTTTAATCAATGTGAGGGTGCACTTTCATGGAGCCACTGGAATACATGTAGAGTTTCAGTGTTTTATTATGATTTGATTAAAAGAAGTATACTGTTCTGCTTATCCAGGATTTAAATGAATTGGGATAACAAAAAGTGAAATTAATAATGAAAAAAATAATATTGCAAATCCATTAAGTCCAACTGGTCAATACTAACAAATTCCAACTCCGTTGGTTAAATGTTGTTCTTAAATATCGACACCTGATTTCGACTGGTTGGACTGTGTAGTGTGTACAAGATTATGGACAACTGATTGCAATAACGTAAACACAAAATCAAAATGTAACATTTATTCAATTCAATTTTCTACAATATGAATATAGCCCAATATTCCAAATTTGCCTGAGAGGGCTTTGTAATATGTCCAACATACTCCTCGGACCCTCACGTCGGATAAGGATGAACTCGCCTGTAAAACAATCCTATAACAGGGAGTTACCAACCAACTAGTTGGTCTCGTCTGGCTTAATCAATAGATAAAATTGGGTATCATCTGCATGACAATGAATGTTTATGGAGTGTTTTCTAATAATATTCCCTAAAGGAAGCATATATAAGGTGAATAGAAGTGGTCCAAGCACAGAACCTTGTGGGACGAACTCTGGTGTGCATGCACAAACTGGGATCGATCTGATGAAAAGGATTTAAACAAGCTTAATGCGCTTCCTTTAATGCCAATTAGATTTTCCAGTCTCAGTATTAGGATGTGATGATCAGTGGTGTCAAATGCAGCACTATGATCTAACAAGACGAGTACAGAGAGAAGTCCTTTCCCAGATCATTTGTAATTCTCCCCAGTGCTGTTCCTGTGCTTTGATGCACTCTAAATCCTGACTGGAAATCTTCCAATAAACTATTGTTCTTGTTAAACTCGCACAAATAAACTTTTTACTAAAACATTGTTTAGTATTTCTCAATTATCAGTAACTTCAACAATAACAATCTCCAGTTATACAAAAACTAAAAATGCAAAAAAGTTTATTCTTAGATGAAATACATTTTCAGTCATTAACTTAGTTACTAGAAGACTGTTTTAATACATATATGGCCTTTGCTGTGTGATGAAGCACCACTGCTACACCACACAGTAGTTATGAAGCGTAAGGAAAAACTTGAGCCTAAAGAGCCAAATATTATTTAGCAAAATGAAACGATGTAAGCACTAAAAATAAGCATGCAGGTGAGGCACCTCGACTGTAAAACACTTTGGGAAACCCTAAAAGATTGCAAAGAATGCAAACTGACAAGTATATCTTCAGAAACTCTGACCTCTTACTAAAACGGGAACCCTCCACCATGCTGCTTGTGCTGTTGAAAAATACTAGTATCACTAGAGATTCAAATGCCAGTGCTGTTCCACAATTATTTTTACATTCACACCTTTATCACAAAGACTTGCTTCCTCTCTGGGAGCAGTTACACACCAACTTGCACTCACGAACTCCTTCCTGTCACAATTAGTCACACGATTACAGATTGCCCACACACTTTGCTGCTCTTCTATGTGTGGCTCTCTGCGCTTCCCCTCGCTGCTGTCCCGGCTGGTTTGTGCTCCTGGGAGGGGGTTGTCCATCTGTCCGTCAGGTTGTCTTTGTGTCCATATGGGCAAAGTGTCCAATGCTTCCCAACCCCGTCTCACGTTCTCATTTTAAAAAAACGATTTGTCTTGCTGTTTCTCTTTCCCCCCCTTCATCCATCTTTCTCTCTTTCTCCCCTAACCTCTGTGTCTGACAGGGCTCCACAGAGAGTTGCAATAACACAGAAGAGGAGGAGATGAAAGGTAGGAAAGGTACTTATCCAACTTTCACCTACTCTGCATGTCTCTCTTTGTTCACTGTATATTTTGTCACTGTGTTGATAGAGAAAGATTACAATATATTTCTTCGCTTCGTATTCGAGGTGCTGCATGGCTACTGGGTAGAGGTTTAGGGCGACTGTCAACTCAGCCTTACTCAAGGTATCGGAGGCTTGGAGATCCAGTAAGATTAGTGGTTGAAATACGAGAGGCGCCTTCGAGCATCGCAGTAAAGACGAATTTGACGTGAAGAGTTTGATGTAAATGCGTATGAGGGCCGATAACGGTGTTGCATAAACTTTCGCTGTTGTCTCCATTTACATGCTGTTGAATTGCTCCAGAGCCAAACGGCAAAACCTCTTTGCCTCATTTCCATTGTTGGTGTGCATGAGTGCATGCATGCCAGCATCACACGCCACTTAAGCCTTTAATTAGTCGTCTCAGCTCGGGGATGACCCTTTTAATGTTTGCAGGTGAATGAAGTAGGACAGAGCTACCGCCAGGAAAACGTTAATCCAGTTACTTAAGGCAGCTTTCTGTGGGTTTACCAGTCCTTGATCTCATGGTGGATAATCACTGACATGCAATCAAGAGGCTGTTCTCCTGAAGTTGAGCGCACTCATTCATACAACTTCCTTTAGATGCATGGATTGCATGCTAAGTGAATGTAGGTCTTGTCTACTCTGAAGTACAAACTCAAACGGTGCGAGGATGCATCAACTCCATGTAGAAAATCAGAGTGAAGGAAAGTTCTCCAAGATAAAGCACAGAACGTCTTTTTGATACAAACAATTCTGCAGCTCACAAGTTTTCTGCAGCTTGTTGCATCGGCTGGTCCTAAGTTTGGGTGTAAATTAGCACTTACTGCTGCGTTGTAATTGGTTAGTTTCACACTAAACTCCTCGCTCACTACCTCACTAGAGCTTCTTCAGTTATTCAGTTTGGATCACATGGGACCTGAGAGGGTTGCCTTGTCCAGTTTATGTTTCTTTCTGGTGTCTGAATCAGCTGGTTTTGACAATTTCCGTCTGTGTGTGCAGTTGGTTTCTAACTCACTGGTCTGTATTGATGCGGCTTCTTAAGCGTGTTCTGATGAGTAAATCTATTCCCAAACCTTCTCTCTGTTTTTAATTTTTTTAACGTAAATTAAAACGGAATACTTTTGGATTGTGCTCGGACGAAGCAAGTCATTTAAAGACTCGTCGAGCTATGAGAACGTGTGATTAGGGCTCCTGCGATTAACAATTAATCTGCTGATCATTTTCTCAATCGTTTTGTGTTTAAAATATCAGAATAAAATGCCTGTTATAGTTTTCCACAGCCCTCGGAGATGTATTTAAATATCTTGTTGTATTTGATCAACAGTACAAAACATAAAGATACCAAAAGTTTACTCTCATTAATGACAGAAAAACAGCAAATCTTCATATTTGAAAAGCTAGTACTATCAAATGTTTGGCATTTTTGATTAATCAATTATCAAACTAGTATTTATTTTCTTACAGATTAAACAATCAATTGAATGACAAATAGGTTCACTTCTAAAGAGTGAGAACGATAAGATAGTAAGCTCACTGCCAGTGTGCATCTGTTTGTATTTGTGTGTCTGTCTGTCGGATGGGGGGGGCAGTGGCTGCCTGTGAGTCTACTGGTTCAGACAGTGCAGTGGTAAGCCAGTGCAGCACCACTGAGGAACAGACCCAGACCCTGTCTACTCGCTGCCCACCACCTACCTGTAAGTCAGCAGCAGTTTACCTGACTCACCTGTCAGCTCTTCTCTCTGTGTCCTGACCTTAACCAACAACAAATCTACCCTGCAAGCAAAACAAACTCCCTTCTCCTCCACTCTGTCCACCAACGTACTGCACTAATTCCCCTCTGTCCTCCTGTGCTGCCATCTACTGGCACCCAGGGCTGCCTACAAGCTACTGTTCCGTCTCTACACTCAGTGTCTGGAGGCTAGTTTCCTACAATAACTGCTTCGTCTACTTTGTGCAGAATAAACCATTTTATAAGCCATGCATATAGTTATATACATGGCGTCTCAGCTTTGCTAAATATAACTTTATTTTACTGGGATGACTGTGCCTGCCTGCAGCTGGTCCCCTGCAGGAGGCTGCTAGCAGCCCCAGTGTCCCTCAGACCAGTCCAGCTCAGAGCTCCTGTCTCGGTCCTGAACCAGAGTCCGCTCTGGCGCCTCCCGCAGGCGTCAGCCGCAACCTGCAGCAGAGTAAGTGCCAGGCAGGTTGTGCAGTGCTTGTGCAAAGACTCCCCAAGTAGTGTTCATACCGTCTGTTCTAACTTTCTGTGACACCTGATGGCACAAAGTTTGAGGATTTATGAACACAGAGGTACATGCAGGTGTGGAGGGCACCGCAGCTGCATGTTCAGTGTGTGTGAGTGTGCATGCAGTTTGTGCATTTCTGGTGTGATGTTGTGCTAATGAATTTATGCCAAATTCTCAGAATTTCTGCTGTATTTGAGTAATTATTGGCCCGCTCCCAAAGAATTAGGCTTTTTTAAATTCATAAAGTGTGTGTGTGTGTGTGTGTGTGTGTGTGTGTGTGTGTGTGTGTGTGTGTGCGTGCGCGCGCGCACACACACAGTGAAAGATATTTAGAGTTGCAAACAGTTATCTTTTATTTCTTTTTATTTTAATGGTCTTCATTTCAAGCTGTGATATCTTGAAAATTATCTCGGGGGGGAATGCATTGAGTGATCAGGTTAGTACATGGTGATTCTGTTTAATAATAGTAATAATTATTAAAATCCAAGCATGACGACTATTGATGGACATTGGGGGCAATGCAACTCCTGCCTCAAGGTTGTGTCCAAATGTCGGCGATGGTTTCACAGAAAACACGACTGTTTGTTAACTAAGACAACTAATGTGAAGAAAAACATCTTTTGTTTGTTTCTGGGTGAAACTATTAAAGGGTTAGGTTCAGGTTTCAGTGTTACAAATTCCCTTGATGTTGTGTTTAATATGAATAATGGACATCGTGGTGTGTTTTGTACAGGGTGACTTCAAATGTCACTGTCATTGTTACCAGAGGCAGAGCAGAGCCCATGTGACGAACTCATTTCAAATGTCAGAGGTTTCAAGGAAGTTCGGGCAGAGCACGCGGAGCGGGATCTCTATGTTCAACCTCCGAATGATTTCTGACGGCCTCAAACCTCTTCTGCTTGTCTTCACCCTCCTCCTCTCCGTCTCTCTATTCTCAGCTCGTAAACAGGAGATAATAAAGATGACAGAGCAGTTGATTGAAGCCATCAACAATGGGGACTTCGATGCTTACACGTAAGTTTGCATATGCAATTCAAACACAAGTCAGCATTGTTTGAGGCTGAGTTTTGTGCCTTTTTGAAGGCTCTTTGTCATTTCCAACACAACAAAAACTCTTAATTGATTCCCCTGTGAAATACATACATTAATGTACAATGCTTGTTTTGGGATGAACACACCTTGAAAGCTATGAACTGTAATCTGTTCTGCAGGATCTTAATCTTAATTTATGGTTATGTCTCTCCTCTGACAGGATGATCTGTGACCCTGGACTGACTTCCTTTGAGCCGGAGGCTCTTGGAAACCTGGTGGAGGGCATGGACTTTCACAAGTTCTACTTTGACAACCGTAAGTTGCTCAGTGTTGTTTTTTATTTCTAAAATCTAAATTAAGACATAGAATTTGGGGGAGAATACAGTTTAATGAGAGTGTTGCTGTGGAAAGGAAGAATTGACTAATTGTTGCATCTTTGACACCCGATAGTCATCAGAAGTCCATTTACAGCTGCTGAACTGCACTTTTCCATCCCCACAGTGCTGAGTAAAAACAGCAAGCCAGTGCACACCACCATCCTCAACCCCCACGTCCATCTGATCGGCGAGGATGCCGCCTGCATCGCTTACATCCGCCTGACGCAGTACATGGACAGCCAAGGCCGGCCGCGCTCCTGCCAGTCGGAGGAGACGCGCGTGTGGCATCGCCGCGATGCCAAATGGCTCAACGTGCACTTCCATTGCTCAGGAGCACCAGCTGCACCACTGCAGTGAACTGTGAACCCAGGCCCAGGTAGGGTGACAACGCCTCCCTGTTATGACACTCTGCAGGGGGCAGTAAGAGTTTCATGCTGCATGTAAGGATTGTTGTAGACCAGGAGATTTGATGACTGGCTGCCAATTCAGGGAGCCACCATATGATTTTTATTATGTCTTTTTCCGACATACTATAACATTACTTTATTCGACATACTATAACATTACATTATTCGACGCACTATAACATTACTTTATTCGACACACTATAACATTACTTTATTCGACGCACTATAACATTACTTTATTCGACGCACTATAACATTACTTTATTCGACGCACTATAACATTACTTTATTCGACGCAGTATAACATTACTTTATTCGACATACTAGACTGACATTTTATGGCTTTTTTTTCGCTGTACTATAATCTGATTTTTCTTTTGTTTTAATTTTGAAATACATGACTTATGACTTTCAACGTACTATACTAGACTTTTTAGGACACATTTTTATAAATTTTATGCCAGACTATACTATTTTATACTTTTTATCATATGACTGTTATCACATTTTTGTGATTTGTGGATCAGTGTATACTAACTTTTTCATATTTGTATGACATTTTAGGGCATACTATATTATGACTTTTTATTTGCATACTGTTTGACTTTTTAGGACATTTTTGTGGAATACCATACTTTTCAATGACATTTTTAAGACATACTCTACTATGACTCTTAAGGCATTCTTAAGGCATACTGTACACTGACTTTAATTTACATTTTTGAGGCAAACTGACATTTTATTGCCATTCTCATCACATACTATTCTTACATACTATTCTCTGAGTATTTAATCATATTTCTTATGACATACGATACTGTGCCTTTTAAGTTACATTTATATAGCCTTCTATGGCCTTTTTATGCTGCTGTTAATTCTTTTATGTCATTTCTTAGCCTTTGAATAGCACAAACAAGATTCCAGTGACTATCTCAAAACCTCAACATGTAAATCCTAAAGCATCTGCATTTAGCTACACTTAGGGCAACATGTTCCCACTAACCTTTGCACTCTTCCTCCTCCAGCTTTGCCTGAACTCTAAAGCTGTTTGGAGCATTTATCTCCGTGGTCGGATTGGTGCCTGGATCCTGACCAGGAAGAAGCTGCTTGGAAAGTTGTAAAAACATAAAAGTGGGCGAAAACACACATTATAAATTAAACAAAAAAAAAAATAAGAAGCCGATTTCAAAAGCTTGCCTGAAAGACCAATCACACAGACCAACACCAATCCAGTCCAACCCTAGCTATGTGATGTTGGGGCCCGGCGGACGTCAGCCCCTTCTTGCAGATGGTGCATGCTTCTGGTGGCGACAGAGGGGCGATGCCGTCCTTGGTCTTTGTCTCCCATGGCCTTTATTTCCCCGTCTGTTTTGTCTGCTATCAGGAAAAGTATTATAACCGTTCTATAAACAGAAAAAAAGTACACATAGTTCACACACATAGTGAATAGAACGGGGGCAGCAAGTATACTATTGGAAAAATGCGATTTGTGTTTTGTTTTGTAGAGAGCAGCAGAATGTCCGCTAATAGAATTACTGTTTGTTTCACGGGTATATCTGGCTTGGGTTTATGGGAACTAGAGCGACTAATATCAACTTAATATCAGAATTCAACATCCATTTTAGGTGTCACAAGTTTTAAAGGGGTTCTTGAAAAAGGATAAATCTTAATCAAAAAGGGTCGATTTAGTTTGATAGAATTGTGTATAAATAGGAGAAAGGGGGAAACGGGATCTATTTTCAGGGTGTAGGGAAGCCAGTTAAGCATGCGTGTTATTTTTTATTTATTTGTTTTGCCTTGAGGTCCCGAGGTGTAAATACCAACACACACGCACACACACACTCAAGGTCCCTACGCTCCAGCCTTTAGGGTTAAGCCTCTCTTGAGCTTTAGACACGTGTGTCCAGGCCAGCTCGCCCTGAAGTTGCAGAAGGCCTCCGTCTGTCTGCGCTGCAGTGATGGAGTTGAACACTGAGAGGCGCCATCCATCAAAGTCTAAAGCTCAGCTCATCTCTAAACTACCTAATCTGAAAGCATGGACGCACTCTCACGGCAACGTTGTACTATTCTTTCATCCGTTTTTTGTGTACTTTTGACGTGACGCTTGAAATATTTAAACTATATTATCTACTGGCCTGTACTGTTTTTGCACAGACACTTAGGACTCGATGCTGTTGTGTTCGCTCTCCAGAGGAAGCGAAACCTTTCTGCAACTTCAGGTTACGCTCGCTGAAATTGTTTTTCCCCCGTCCACCCTCCCTCTCCCCCTCTACTTCCATCATTCCTGCCTCTTATACTCTCCACGTGCTGCCCTTGGAGCCCTATTACTGTCCAAGTAGCAACTCGCCGCGTAATGATGATGTCACCCTTATGCCTGTCTCTCGTTCTAAATTGTGTTTCTTAAAATGTGTGTGTTGTCTGTCTTGGCTTGCTGTACTTCTGTGTGGAGTCCTTGAATTATCAAAAAAAAAAAAAGCATGTTAAAAAGGGAATGCAGTTGAAGGATTCAGACTAAAAAAGGGCATGATGGGAAGAGGGCTCTGCCGGCTGGAGGGCTGCGGGACCTTTGCTGATGGCAATCAATGGATTTGGTCCTTTTCGTCACTGTTTCTGTTGTGAATGTAATGGTTGTTAGTGTTTTGATGTTGATATTTTTATAGTTGTTTAAGCCGGAACTGTAAGAAAAATTTGGGCGACTGCCACAACCCTTTTTTACTGTCCCTATTTCTCTCC